AGGACTCTAACCAAGAATTATAAATAGCAACATTTACAGGGCAAAAGTTAAGTCTCCTAACAAAAACCAAAGCAGAGTAAGGAATACAAAGGCATGGCTTAGGGAACAAAGAATAATTCATTCATTTCTGGAACTAGAAAGGGTAAGGCATGAAATTTATAGAGGTGATGAACTCAAGAAGGTAGAATGGTAATAATAGTAATAGACAATGACATTTTTAAGCACTCTCCATGTGCCTGGCATTATGTTTACCACTTTACAAATATGATTTTGCTAATCCTTAAAACTATTCAGTGAGAAGACTACTAGCACAAAATCAGCATAAGCAGACAGCAAAACAATCAGAGGTAGTAAACAAGAACGACAAGAAAATTGTGAAGGTTAGTGACTATACAACAATCAAGCAGAATTTCCATGGCCATCTGGAAAAACAAGTCCCAAATTGGTAAGGCTGTTGACATGTGAAAAATGTTCATGTCTTAGTCCAACTGACCAAATAGTGAGTGATTATTCTATTAATGAAGAAAAATTATGATATAAAATTTAATTCTTTAAATACACTACCACAGAACACCAGTGTTCTCTTCCCAATTGTTGACTGACACTGTAAATCCCTACTAGTTTGCAGTTCAGTCATTAATGTCTTAACTAATCCCAAACCAGGGACCGTAGGTATCTGTCTTTAAAATTATTAGCAAAATGATTCCCATCTAAGATAAGATATTTTGTGAACTATTTTATTTCAGGCATGATAACATATTTTCATACATGACTTTGGGAACTATATAATGAAAACTGGTATATCTAAGGTAACACTTTAAAGGTTGGAGATATCTGTTTCACCTTAGCAGCTGGAGATTTGTTCATTACTGCTGTCAGAGCCTGGATGGTTGATACAGCCAGACAATCCAACTGTCCCTGAAACACCTACCAGAGGGGGGAAAAAAGGCAAGAAATTAAAAATGTGCTCAAGATTTGTATTCAGTTAGGAAACCTTTGTTCTGAACACCTGAAAAAATAATTACTTAACATGCAATACATTCCTCTTCCAATGAAATGAATTTCTGAAACACTATAACCTGCAAGGAAAAGTTACCTACTTGATAGAAAATAAGCCACGTTTCAAGAAGGATAGGCTACGTTCATTCATTACATTAATATATTTAAAAACAAACACCAAGCTTTAAGACATGCTTTTTAAAACCCTAATGGACAATCTCAAGAGGAAGGGAGGGAGGTCTATCACTGGAAATTCTATTATTTTAATTTCTCTTCAAAATACACATGAACTTTCTAGGTTTAAATTTCATCAGCATATATAATAAGATGGCTAAAATAGTCCTGTCTACTTAGTTTCCAAACTCTGTGTTATAATAAAATTGGTTTGTGCATACAACTAATTAATCACGCTTGCAAACAATAGGGTATATCTATTTTTACACAAAATGCAGAACTTGAAGCAGAACATAAAATGAAATATGTATCTATAAACATTGTCATGTTTTTAAGAAGGCAATCTATAATGCCAAAAGTTGTAAGAAAAATTAAAACCAGCTCAATTTTGTCTATTTCTGTGTAAGCTTCACCATAAAAAAGAGAGGTGTTAAATTTCAGGTCATTTATAGTAAGAAAACAAAAATAAATATAACATCAATACTAAAAAAATTGAACATGACTGTTTTATCATCAGGCTTATGCAACCACGGAGGCATAGCATAAAGACTAGAGAGTTATAGAAACTAAGTTCCGAAAATCTGTTTTGTGGAATACATTACTATGACTTGATGCTAGTTAATCCATAAATAGGATTTTCCTCTCCCACTCCCACTAAAAATGATTTGAGTAAAGGGACTGATACTTTCAGGCAAGTTATCTAATCTCAGATCTTAGCTTTTGTTGATGTTATTCGTTAAACATTATTACATATAATAAACATATTGCATATGTAATAAACATAATATGCATTAAACATTCTGCATACAGAATTTTATACAAATAAGATCATTCCTAGACTTTATCCAATAGGACTAGGCATCATAGTACCTACAACTAGAAATACTAACATAACCTCTAAGAAGACTATTATAACTCGTTTATTACACTATAAGAGGGACTAACACTTATATAGAAATCTAAAACGGTACTCTGTAATTGATATTCAACATCCAGAATACAAAATAACAGATTATCATGTCTCTTTCTATATCACAGCTCTGTTTATAAACCTGGACATTAAGATAATATTAATAATGACATAATAAGCTCTTTCACAAACATTTTGGGAAAGAAAAATAACAAAGCAACATTTATAGGCAGTTTTTCCAAACTAAATGACCTAATGTATTGTACAAAGCAACATAAATTGCATATTTTTGCTTTACTCCCACATAGAGTTGAATTTTTAGAAAAGAAAAAATTAAGTTTTACTCTAAGACTCAACGAGCTCAGCATCTTCTTCCCTTCCTCCAAGATTCAGGTTGTCCATTGAATTATAATCATTACTTGTCAACAAGAAGCAAAGAATCAAGATATTAAATTGACCATACATATTTACAAACAAAGCCCTGAAGTCCCAATACACCATAATGCTTAGAAAAGAAGCCCCCAAATATGAAGTCACCACCAGTTGAACAGTGCTGATACAGGGATCCCATTCCTGTACTTTATATCTCCTCAAAAAAAGAACACACACACATACATAGATGGAATACTGTTGATCATTTATATATCAACTACCAAGATTTCAGTATATTTTATCTTTTAGAAAAAAAATTCAAAATAAAAATGGCTTTTAACAATTTTCAAAAATAATTAATATTAAAATTAAGATGTTTGTGTATTTTAAGACATAAAAAAAGTACAGGAATCATTGATCCCATTGATTGATTTTGGACTTCAGCTGAAACAAGATGCAGGCTTTGTAGATACCTGGTCCTCATTCATTTCTGTCAGTAATTTGTTGGCAAGGTCTTTCTCATTCTTGTCTGCCACCTTATTGTTAGCATTTAAAAACAGCTGTTAAACAAGAATAATGGAGACAGAACATTAAATTCTTACCTATAAGCAGAAATGAAGTTTAAATGGATTTCCTTGTCTTTTGAAAATAAATCCAAGAATTCACTTGTGAAGTATACCACTTTTAAACTGACAATCAACTATTCATATTTGGGGTAACAGACATTAGTTCATATACCATATAATTAATTATTATTTATTTATCTCTTAGAACTCAAAGTTACTAAAATAAGAAACAACAGCAATAATTTAATTAATCTTCCTAAAGTCTCAAAGAATCAGCTGAGAATGTCTCAGAGAAAAGAAGGAAATATGCTTCTTTTGAGACAGACTTCTTATTGAGACAGACTAAAGATAATGTAGTAAATAATGCACAGTAAGGGTTCTGTAGTTAATTAACAGCATTTATGAAGTGCTATTAAACTAGCTTTTACAAGGGTTCTTTCTAAAAATACTTCTCAGAGTTTCAAATACGCTAATGGGGAAGTCAGTGTTCAGCATTTCCCAAATTTATCTGAGCACACGTTTTGTTAAAAATTCTATAACAGTATTCTCCAAATACAAATCAACAGTATCAAGAGTTGAGCGTAATTTGTATTAGTTTGTGTACTAGAAAAGGGATTAGAATTATCTTAAACACACATGGGATTGCCCTCTTCTGAAAGAAATAAAAGGAATCAACTATTTTGGTTGAAGTATATAAAACTCAGCATCCCAAAATACCTCGGTAACAGATTAGGTAAAGAGAAAAATAATTCAAATGAGAGTGAAAAGGGAGAGAAATTTAGATTTATAAAGGGATTTATCAAGAGCATCCTAAGAAGAAAGTTCTTAGGCAGTTCTATCATTTCAGAGATAAGAAAAGTCCAGTATGTCCTGAAATAATGCAATATAAAATAAAGTGGATAAAGTAGTAGTATGATATGGTATGCAAGAGCATACATAAAGCTTAACCTAAAAATAGATTCGTGTATACAATATACGATTTGGAATCAGAAACCTGATGTGATTCTTGGTTCTGTTATTTAATAGCTGTCTGGTTTTAAGAAAAGCCACTTCTCAAAAAGGAAAATAATATCTCAAGAAATAGGTGTGCAGATTAAATGAGATAACTCATGCTAAGTTATTAGCATAGTATCTCACACATAACAAAAGTTTAATAAATGAAAGTTGGTTATTATTATTATTGGCAAATGTATAAAAAATAGTAATATTCCATAATATCTAGTTTAAGGTACACAGAATGACCAATACCGAGGGAAGCAAAAATTAGTAGTCTTTCCAGAAAGTATTCCATTTCAAGAATTTTTAAAAAGTTCTTATTCTTTAAATCAGTAACTTTATTTCTAGGAATCTACCCTAAGAAATGGTTAGAAACTCACACCAAGATTTTAGAATAGAGGTGCTCACTTCAGCTTTATTTACAATAGCAAAAAATAAGAAACCACCCAAATATCCAACAATAGCACAATAGTTAAATAATTGATGGTATACCTTTAGGTTGAAAGAGAAATCCTCAAACTTTCTGGTTTCAGGACCCCTTACCACTCTTAAAACTTGAGAACCCCAAAGACCTTTTGGGTTACATCTATCAATATTCACCATATCAAAAATTAAAATCAGGATACTTCAAAATATTTGTTTATTCATTCAAAAAATAACAAGAACACATTACGTGTTGACATTAAAAACATTTTTAAGAAAAATAACTATATTTTCCAAAATATACCTTTGTGAGGATGGCACTGTTTCTACATTTTTACAATTCTCTTTAAATGTCTAGCTTAACAGAAAATAGATGAACTCTCATATCTGCTTTTGCATTCAGACTGTTAGGATAATGTTGTCTTGGTTAATGAAGAAAATCTAGCCTCAAACAGGAATGCTGTTTATATTAGCCTCTGCAGAATCCCTAAAATGATCTTGGGGACCCCACACTTTGAGAATGTCTGGGTTGAAATATTCGCAGTCATTAAAAACAATGTTTTGAAAAATATATGATGGCATATATTTTGAGGAAGGAAAGACTCATTTTGGGATGGGAAGACTCATGATGCAACACGTTTAAAGGCAGGATACAAAAATAGTCAGTAGTATTCCAATTTTGTAAAGGAAAATATATTCACATTGAAAATATACACACAAATATTATGTGCATTTTGCCACAATTCTATAATTTAAATATTATAAATATGCATTTTGTAAAAAGATTAAGAAAAAAATATCTCTATACTTCTTCCTCCATAATCTCTATATTTATTGTGTATTGCTCTAGAATTTAAATAAAAATCTATTTAAAAAAAAAGAAAAGAAATTTGCTCAAGGTCACTAAGACATATATATGAATCCAAACAGGTGTGATTCCAATGTCAGGCTTTCAATTACAGCATTCTATCTATCCACTCCCAACACACTTTCTATGGAGCATCCCTCAGTTGCTCCTTTCATAAATTCTCATACTTAGACTGTCTTGATAAACTGTAGTTGATTTTAAGGGGTAGATGTGAAGAAGAAAGGGAAGAAAATAAAGAAAACAAAGATGAACAAGACCAAAAATATCAAGAGCTTTCCAGAGTCATCTGACTCTGTAATGCCTATATTTTTTAAAAATGATTTCAACTCCAAGCAGAGTATTAAAGTCAACGTAATGGTTTTGAATCCTTGTCTTTGCTAATATAAAGTTGCTGTTATTTTCTTCCCATTAATTCAAATATCATTAAACAGCTTTTAAAAAATGTTTACATTAATTCAAACCATATCCCCCTTTCAAATTGCAATACAGTGAAATATAGTTTTGATATACTGAAGAAAAGCGTATACTAGTAAATTTTAGTAGGAACTACATTTTATCCTAGTGATTTACCTTCTATAATGTGTGATTGGTAAGTTCTATATATATGTGAGATTTTGTCTTTATTACTGAAGTTGCCTTTATAACTGATAAAGCCACACCGCTTTTTTACAACAAACAAAAGGTTTTATAAACATTTCTCTTATGTTGCTTTCATCTCACCAGGAATAAATGATTTTTAAAAGGTGGGAGGAGGCCTCTTGACTCTCCCAGGTAATTTGGTACTTTTGTTGACTTCATAAAAATTCATTACTATTAATTAATATATTCTTTACTATTTTATGTTCTTCTTTACTATTTTTCTGTAAGTTAAGCAACCTAGTTACAGAAATGTTTTCAGGGATAGCCCTCCTAAAAATTCAAGGAGCTGATATTAAAATCCTGTTCTGGAATATTCTCACAGAATCAGAATGAAACCCTAATATTTTTCAGCATGGAGTCCATGAAAGAAATACCTTAAATAGAAAGGTAAAAGTTCTTTGAAGGCTGGGTCCCTATTCTTTTGTTACCCCTGTTGCTCATGTCTGACTAGTTACCTAACAGTAACTTTTCAAAGGCTTCTCAAAAAGCTCTCTAAAAAGTTTCTGATTCCATCTTGAAATGAAAATATGATATAATAATCAGAGATATTAGGTATTCCGTACTCACACACAAATGTACTACAAGTGCAAATCAGTAAAAAAATAAGAAAAATATGCGTATTGGCAGTATATATCAAGAACTTTAACAGTATTACTATTTTTCTACTTTTCTACATTTTCCAGTTATTTATGAGTTGTTTTCGATGTTCCCTAAATTAAAAAAAGTTTATGCCCTTTGTCCTAGTAATTCTATTAGAAATAAAATTCTATTCTATGAAACTTGAAAGAGTTATGTAATAGCAAAAAAAAAAAAAACAAGAAACGAATTAAGCATGTTCCAATAGGGAACAGTTAAATAAATTATGATACATCCACTTAATATTATATGAACATTAAAATTGTAACAGGAAAATACTAATAATCTTAAATGAAACAAAAGCTCAAAATTATATGCATCTAAGGCTCGCACTAAATTTTAACAATGCATAACAAAAAAGACTTTAAAATGCCACAAAAGAAACAACCCGATTAAAAAATGTGCAAAAAAAATTGAATAGACATTTCTCCAAAGAAGACTGCACAAATGACCAAAAAGCACATGAAACGATGCTCACTAATCATTAGAAAAAAGCAAATCAAAACATAATGAGATACCACTTCACACCCGAAAGAAAAGTAAGAGGAGGAGGAGAGGGTAGGGGAAGTGAAAGGGCAGGAGGAGGGGTGAGTGGAAGAGGAGGAAGAAAATAACTGTTGATGAGGATGTGGAGAAACTGGAACTCTTCTGCACTGATGGTATGTAAAATGGTGTAGCCACCATGGAAAACAATATGGTGGTTCCTCAAAAAATTAAAAATTTAATTGCTATGATCCAGCAATCCCATTTCTGGATATACACCCAAAAGAACTGAAAGCAAGGTCTTGAAGATATATTTGTATATTCATGTTCATAACAGCATTATCTATGACAGCCCAAAGGTGAAATCAACAGATGAATGAACAAAATGTGGTATAATATATATACACAATGCAATATTATTTTATCTTAAAAAGAAAGACAAATTTGTAACGTGCTGCAACATGGAAAACTCTTAGAGACATTATGCTAGATGAAATAAGTCACAAAAAGACAAATACTGTTTCATTGCACTTACATGAGGTACTTACTGTCGTCAAAATTATAGACAGAAAGTAGAATGGTGGTTGCTGGGGTGAGAGGAAAATGTGGAGTTGTTTAATAGGTCTGAGTTTCAATTGTACAAGAGGAAAAGAGATATGGGGAATGAATGTTAGTGATGGCTGCACAACTAACTATACGAATGTATTTCATACCACTGAACTGTACACTTAAAAATGGTTAAGATGGTGTATTCTATATGTGTATTTTACCACAATAAAAAAATTTAGTAATATGCTTGAATTTGAATCAAAACATAAACAAAACAACTTCCTAAAATCAAAGATAATGATAATAGAAAAATACCTTGCAATTCTGTAGCAGTCGTATAAGATGTTCAAAGCAATTACTGTTAAGAAAAATGGCCTGAAGAACAGGCCTATCTGTGCAGTCTAACATGGCTGTAATGGTATCTAGAAAAATAAACACAAATCATCCATTTACAAAGTAGAAAATTTGGAATCATAGAAATATTTATTCTAGCCATATTTTTAATTTAGGCTTTTTAGTTGACAAACATGTAAATAATAGGGATGAGCAGATAAAATTATCTATACTTCTTACTTGATTAAAAAAGTGAACATATCTATACTGTTATTAAAAATATTTAACTTTTTATATAAGTGATATACATTGCCTAGTTTACTTAGTTGTTCTTCCATTACAATGCTCAAATATAACCAAGTGAGATTCCCAATTTGCTTTTAAATAAATAACACATGGTTATATTTGGCAACACAGTCTCATTTATAGAGTATGAAATTAACATATGGCCACTATGAAAATGAGACTCCAGTAATTAATCCATTTGTGATGATGCTTTGTTCTCGCTTCCTACCGAAGGAACACCTCCATTAAGAAATCAAAGAACTGGGGGTGGTTCCATAGAGTATTGGTTAGCACATCTGCTTTACACGCAGAAAGTCCTGGGTTTGAGCCACAGTGGAG